CGTAGGCCATGTCTGTAATAGTCTATTCAGGTCTGCGGGCTCTTGACCACGAACTAGAACACCGCCCCTGGGTAGACGCTTAATGCTAGCTATTTTGACCTTAGGTTTGCACCTTTAGATTTCCATAGTTAGCTGAGGTTGATTGTAATAACCTGGAATTCTTTGGATGACGATTTCGTATGTTGGTGTTTGCGTTTCTGTCTTTTTTTGCTGTTCCTTGTTTGTTGAGCTTTGTGTTTGTGTTTGTTTTTCATTTTGTTTTTACAAGGGTAAAACCCTCTTCCTCATCTTTGGGTGTTTGTATGTTGTTGTCGTTTGTGGTGTTAGGTGTTTGTTCAACTTCCAAGGTTTTGTTTAATTTTTCTACATTTACATTTTTTTTCCTGAGTTATTTTACCGTTGACAGTATCAGCCTCAGCATCGCTGTCATCGGTTCCTTTATCAACCTGGGGTGATTTTGACATTTTTCTTTTTTTGTTTATTTTACTCATATCAGTTGTTTTGGGTGTTTGCTGCGTCTTGTTTTCTAGTTCTACTCTAGTTAAATACATAAGTTGTCTAAGATATTTTTTTAGTACATTATTCTGGGTATGACAAAATACAATATATACTTGTTTTAAAAGGCACGCCAAGCATCTAGCGGCTATATTCAATTTATCTTTAAAATCAGGTTACATTCTGACTGCTTGGAAGTTAACGGACGTTTTAATGTTTCTGAAAGAAGGAAAGCCAGCAAGTAAACTAGAAAGTTATAGACCAATCAGTCTACCCAGCTGTATTGGAAAACTACTAGAAAAATCAATAGTTCAAGACATTTGGCCTAACTCGAACTGACATCAAAACTACCTGAAATACAAAGTGGTTTAAGAAAAAAAAAGATAAACAACAAACCATCTAATAAGCCTTACAGAAACCAAAGTTATAACCGAAATGAATGCACTGTCGCTTGCTTTCGCGATGTCAAAAAGCCATTCGACACTGTATGGCCAAACGGACTGAAATATTGATTGTCAGAAATGAAACTACCACGAGGTATTATTCACTGGCTCTCCAACTCTCTAGATAATAGGAAAGCTAGAATTTATGTGTCCGGCACCTTCTCGGAGTATTTCACACTGGAGGCAGGTGTCCTGCAAGGAGGGGTAGTTAGCCCTATTATATTCATCATGTATGTGAGTGCAATGCCATTGTCTGATCCAAATTTCTGCCTCTGTTTCCAGTTTGTGGATGATGTGGCTATCTAGAAGAGCTCCTATACCCCAACAAGAGCAGCGACAAATCTACAACCATTATAGAGATGGTAAAGCACACCTTCTTGCATTTGTAACTGACCATACAAGAACCATATGTTATGTGTGTCAGTGTTAAACTCCTCTGTTAGTGTTATTTTAGGTCCCTCATTTGCTCTTCCTGGAATTCGCGAGTTCTTAATTTTGGTATTTATCCACTAGTAGGCTCTCCTATTTCGTGGTTTGTCATTGCTATGGTGGAAATGGCTATGGTCTTAGAACACCCTTTGACAAGACAAATTATTCTCCTTATCTCTTTCAAACTATTGATCTCACTCTAACATATCAACCATTAGGGCTTTCACTTTTACGATGGTTAACTTTGCATTTTCTAACTTTTCTCTCACCGAATTTCTCTTTCCCTGTGACTTTACTTTTACTCTCTCTCTCTCTGTTTCTGCTCGTCTCGTCGCCGTTATTTATATATTTATCATTTACGCCTTCTAGAAATCTCTACACCCTCGATATCAATGAATTACAAACACAAAATAAATGTATTAATAATACTATCTACACTAAGCACTCTTTGTATCTGACAAACAGCTATCTTAGCTGGACTCATGGAGACTCCATCTCTCCTGACAATGCAACCAAAAAACTCCAATTCTGTGTGAATAAGTGAGCACTTTGCAGGTTTCGGTTTCAAGTCTTCTTTATTTATCCACTCTCAGGTTCTAAGCTACAGAGTCCAACATGTAACCAAACACCAAAACATCGTCAATATAGAACAGGCCTCTCTCCCATTGCAGTCTCTTCAGTGTAAGCTCCATTAACCTCTCAGAACTGGCAAGTGCATTACACTGGCTGTATAGTCATGACACAGAATTCATACAAACCATCTCTTCTAGTAAAAGTGGTCTTAGATCTACTCTTGTTGCCCAGCTCGACTTACCAGTATCTAGACACCAAATCCAAATTGTTTAACAAACAGGAACATTCTAACACCTCCAGACATTCACTTGTTTGTAATAAGGGAAGGCATCAGTGCTCGTTATCATGTTCACCAATCGAAGTTTCACCTTTTGCTCATTATAAATTGATGAATAATTTGCACAGTACATCCATTCCAAGGATGTCAATACCAGATTAGAGGTTGGAGACTATTACCTTAGTTTTGTGAGCAACATTTACTAGACAAAACCAGAGATCTGCCTTTCTTCTAACATCTAGTCTATCACAATTCACCAGAACAAAGTCAGTATCCACTGGTCAGATTGGTAGTTTCACTTGGATAGCTTGATATTTTGTAATGTCTATCAGTGTTCTGACTGCTCATGTTTTAACCAGAAATTCAAACTCTTGCTCTTGTACTCTCAAAGGTATATACCAAGCTTCACACAGACCTGAGAGTGCTGAGAGGACTCTAAATATCTTTAGTTACAATTCACTGTGCTCTCCTCAAAGATGTTGACCATGCCAATCTTGGATTCTATCAGTTTGTTTGAGCATTTTCTACAGCATCCACCACTTCCTACTGATATTGGCTGATTATTCTGAATCTACTAGTTTAGGTTGATTAATATTAGGGACCTTCACTGCATTGGCAAAAGTCACATGTCCAGGAGAACACTTCGGCTTGACTCAACACTTTTCTAATACAACCCTTTTATTCCAGTAAAAATTGAAAACTCCACAATAAACCCTTTGGACACAGCACCAGAATTTCTCCTTCATACTTACTCTGTGGTTTTCTCAGGTGAAATTGATTACTGCATGAGTATTAAATAGGTCTGCTTTATACTTGAAGGATTTATCAGGAAAATTGCTTAATTAAACGACTGAGTTTGAGGTATGAAAATAAGCAGGGACACGTGATGTTAAATGAAACAAAATTTTTAGTACATACAAATCAAAAACATAGCTTGCATACTTGCATAAACACTTGATAATTGTAAATTGTAAATCAGCCAACAGCTTTCTCTTCTCAAGATATATTTCCATTGACTTATTTAACTGATGATCAAGTAGAACAAATGTTAATCCAATGTTCCACACTGACTGGAAACATAGTATTTACTCAGATCGAAGCATGTTTCCACATGGTTGTTCTCTTATAACGTAAATATCATTTACTCGATCAGTGAAAAACTTTGCTGCCGTTGATCCATTTCTGTCCAATGTGTGACGTTACAACAATATGCCTTTGGGCAAAGGAGATACAATATACCAGAGCAGTGCTTCTCAACCTTTTCCAATATCACTCACTCCTACAAGTATTTCACAACAGCTCACTCACCCCAGTTCGAAAAAAGTACTAAATTAAATGT